ATTCCCAGGTCTCACCCAGAGCTGATCTGGGAGCACGCCCCAACCTGGACCTTCAAACTCTTTCCTCTGAAGGGTGAGCATTTTATGTGTCCTCTGCATAAATCACCTTCCTCCTCCGCACTGCCCAGGGCTGGAAGACGGAGCTTTAGGAACATCTCCCAGCTTTTCAGCTCCTGGGCTTGATACCACGACTGCAACGCAGTGAGCACTCATTCAGTCCTGAGGCCCAGGGCTGGGATCTGCTCACTGTAGAAAGAAGTTGTAAAGGGCTTAGCTGCTAAGTTTTAAGACGTATCTGTGGAGCCTGCGTGACGTGCAGCAGTTCAGAGTTTGACTAAATGTAGGGAGCTTTGCACAGAGAGATTGGTCTGGAGGGACATTACAGTGGGACAACATCCCAGCAGGATGTCTAACTTACTTAAATCCAGTGAAGAAACACAGCAGCAAAGAAAACAGGCCAGGAAAATGCTGTGTAGGATTGCTGTCTCCAGATATCAGCTATTCCAGTCTTCTACTCCAGTTTGCAATTAGCCATGCATACATAGCTCTTGTTTTCAGAGACTTGGAGAGGCAGTGACTCCACACCCTCCCCATACAGCCAGCTCCAGTGTGTCACCATTTTGTACTGCTTCGAACCATTTTAAGGGAAGTCTTCCCACATGTTTGGTGGGAGTCGGAGATACAGAATGGAAAATTTCAGCCCAAATGGTTGAAGTCCGGCAAAGTTACAATGGACAAACAAGAGGGGAGGGCTATGGTGAGAACAGCCAGGTGCCACCGGTGCGGCCAGGCTCCAGCTGAGCCTGAAACCTGCCCTGCCCTGAAAAGCCCAGGGTCTAGGGGAAAAGTCAAGCAGGCAAGGGATGTGAGGAGAAGTTGTCTCTGGATTATAGCTCTGCCCTGAATTTCTCTATCTGTGACTATCCGAATATACATATATATTGAGTTTTTTTCTACTCCTAACCGGTATAATAAACATGAGGTAGAAAATAGAAAGTTGTGTGGCGCAGACAACATGAAATTGCTGTGTTTTCAGTAGAAAGGTTCACAGTATTTTAAAGTAATTCCTCAACTCTTCTTACAAGGCCATGAAATTGTGCTTCCCTGGTAATAGGCAATATTCCTGCCAGAAAATGGAATTATGAATATCGGGAGGGATGGGAAGAAAATTAAAACGTGTAAAAGAGAAAATGTAAAAAGAGACTCCACATAAGATCCTGGCTTACTCTCAGCCTTTCCCAAGGCAACTTTCCTGTATATTTCCTGGACAAGGTCTTATTCAAAATGGCTTACGTAAACGTGTCTTCCTGCAGTTCAAGATGTGGCCCACACCTACGGTGTGAAGAAGCTGATGCGTGGTGGGAAGAGCAAACTGAAGTTGCCTTGTGCGAATGCAGAATCACTCAGAGACCAAAAAAGCTTCTTGCCAAAAAAAAAAGCTGATGAACCAGTGTTACTTTAAGGCAGGTGGAATAGTTCGTGCTCTTGTTTTTATCGTTAGTGCTAAGAGGGAAAGACAGCTTTGTTTTCACATGGTTATTGATTATTAACCAGCTTTGTGAAAGGTTACCTTTCTGCTAGATACAGCTGGGGGGGCGGGGGGCGCAGTTAAAAATCAATCCCTGGGAAAGCTCTGTTTCCCAGTCAATTTCTCCTTCTCCCACTGCCGGCTCTTGCCACGGGTACAGTTTCCCTGTGTTGGTCTGAGCACGGCTGGGAGAGAAAAAGATATTTGGAGTATGTCCCGCTCACCTTCAATACTTCTTTTCTGTCTAAATGTGGATTGCAAAAAAGTGGTTGAGCACTGAGAAGTCATCAAATATCATGCAGATATAGAAAATCAAACCAGACCACTATTAGGAAGTGTGACTGAACTATGCTCCTTACTATTTTATACTCTAGTTAGGCAGTCAGGGAGGTGGAAGGAATGATGAAACTACCATCGGTCATGAAGAGAAAGGGTCACAAATTGAGTAGGGGTTCACAAATTATTTGCATTGAAAGGCAAACAAAATGCTCCTGCCTTTCCTAGGGAAAAAAAATAATACTGTGTCCAGATGGTTTTGCATTTCACTGACCTCAGCAGCCTGCAGTGATGTCTGTCAGACACTACTGGGGAAGAAGCGGACAAGACTTTCAAAATACAGTGACTCACATTACGCTCCTAAATTAATGATTTAAAGGTAAGATCATTGAAAATGCCACTGAATTTCAAGAGGCATGTTGTATATGTTGGCATACATTTTAAAACCACATAGATACGACATTAGGTATGTGGCTTGGCTTTCCAAACCGCTGGGCACACAGCCACGTTCATATATTGTAAAGTTTTAGGCTTCATGCAATACAGACTAACAGCTAACCATACAGACAACCTCTCTGTTGGGTAAACATCAAGCTGGAGGAATATGATCAAATCTTAACAAGCCCTTAAAAGACTCTTGAATTTAATATGGTAATCCAAGTATTGCAGTGTGGTTATTGCACGATCTTATTGTAGGATGGCAACAGGGGAATTAGGGCTGATTAAATGCAGCCAGGTGCACGGTCAGCAAAGGGTGGCAGTGCCTCACAGACCTGCAGTTAATCTGGGGAACGCTTTGCCACAAACTGGTGGGAGGCAAAAAATTTACGTAAGGTTTCAGGGGACACTTAAGATGTGGAAGAATCAACTGAGTTCTATAACATCCACACGGCTCAGGAAATCCCTGGAGCAGAAAATTCTGGGAGTCTGGGAGAAGGTTTGGGTGTGGTATCTCATGTGCACACCCTGCTGTGACCGCCCGAGGCAATGCGTAAGGACATCATTTAGGGAGAGGGTGTGGGGTCACTGGACCTTTGCCTTGAGTCAGCGCAGCGGTGTCTGCAGAGCCTGGTTCCGGGGCGAGCGGGGCCATTCCCATCACTCCCACCTGCCTCCTCCATCACCCCTTTCCCACACCAAGTGGGCACTGGGATGGGACCCACTCATAGCTCAGAGGCTTCGCCTGGGAACCCACAGCTGTGGAGGGGCTCTTCAGCCAGATCTTAGTGACTGCGTCCCGGGAGGAGGAGGCAGGCAGCGGTGATCCCTGGGCTCGGGCTCCGGCCGGGCTCAGCTCCCCATCCCGTCGCCCCCCGGCTGCCGGACATCACCACCCCCCGGGCCCGGCCAGGGTCCCCAGTGCCGGGATACCCGGCGGGGCCCTTTTCCTGCACTGCAGCTCGCCGCCTTGTTGTTAGCACGGCAAAGCGTGCCCTTATCACCTGCTCACGCAGGCAGAATGAAAGAGAATTAGCTCTAAATTATACGAAATTCATTTGCTTTGGAGGGGGAAGTGTTTGTTCTATTTAGAAACGTTCGTTATAGAGAGAGGACCGCATTAAGACACCGGGTAATGGTCCTCCCTGGAGATTAATCAATTTGCTCTGGGTTTTATGGCCTCGCGTTTGTTTGTCCGCGCCGGTTCCCCGTGGAAAGCCCGGAGCTGTAAATGCTCCGGGGAGCAGATCTCTGGGAAAGGGGCTGGGGGTGCCGGGCTGGGCTCGGTGCGCAAGAGGTCTCCGGATCAAAGGACACACGTGCCTGCAAGAGACCTCAGGGGAGGCATCGCGGGCACGTGGGTGCTGAGCAGGGGGGACACCACCGCCAAGGGAGCTCGCCTGGCT